CCCTCTTTTTTTTTTTTTTTTTTTTTTCCCCCCCCCCCCCAGTCTATTCTCCTCCACTAGCAAGAAAGGCAGCCTTTGTGCTTAATCGGCTCAGTCATGATCCTTGTTTCCCCCCCCCCTCCTTTATTGCTCAGCTATAACTCCCTCCTCCGCCCCTTGTCAACCTCAAACTCCCTCGATACATGGTCAAGTCCATCACCTTTTTTGCCATGAATACTGAATCAGCTTAGGGGAGGGTCAGGCAATGATGCAGTGCTCCTATTTGCTGTCCCAAGTTGCCCTGCTTCCCCCCAAGTTTATTAGACATGTGGTGCGTATACGGGGGAGATGGGCAAAGGTAAAATGTCTCAGTTAGACATGCACAAAAAGAAAAAAATAGGTTTAAGTCCTAGTAGGCTAGCGAAGGTGAAAGAGATGTTAAGTTTCCTTTTTGGGCACAGGTGACAAAAAGTTTTTTATTTTATTTTTTTAAAGAACCCCAGAGCCAAAAAGTGCAATGTGAACAATGCCAGCTTTGGTGCCATTCTGTTATATTTTGTGCACGGGCAACGTGTAGGGGGTGCACGTGGGTGCACATGCACCCCCTGAGCATGGCAGTGCACCCCCTACAAAAAGGTGCTGCCAACACTGTCAGCAGAGTCTGTGGGCTATCATTGCTCGCCGTCACGGTCCCACTGCTGCTGTGCCCCCTCAGCTGCCAGGGGTACGCACAGTTCATGATTTTGTGGGTGCACATGTGCACCTATTGCAAGTATAGCCTCTGGGTGCCTAGGGTATATAGGAGCTCACAGGCACCTTGCGCGCTTGGCATCTAGATGTGGGTATTAGAATCAAAGAATCATAGAAAACAAGGGTTGGAAGGGACCTCAGGAGGTCATCTAGTCCAACCCCCTGCTCAAAGCAGGACCATCCCCAGCTAGATCATCCCAGCCAGGGATTTGTCAAGCTGGGCCTTAAAAACCTCCAAAGCTGGAGATTTCACCACCTCTCTGAGTAACCTGTTCCAGTGCTTCACCACCCAGGTGATATTGGGGAGGAGGCTGCTTTCTAGACTCCCTTACCCCCTTCCCCACCAAGTTCACACAGCAGTAATTTGCACACAGGCTGCATAGAGTCCCACAAACTGCTCTCTGCCCTTTTCAGACATGTATGATCAGTCTGAGCCCAGCCAGCAGGATACTCAAATCAGTCTTGCTCTCATGTTGCCTTTAAAGGGGCTTGCTTTCAGGCTGCCCACTGCTGGCATGGCTAACACTGCCATGAAGACTGAATCAACTTAGGGGAGGGTCAGGCAATGATGCAGTGTTCCTGTTTGCTGTCCCAAGTTTTCTGCCAGGAATCTGTGGACCACAAATGAGTTTATGGCCTACTAGCTGGGGAAGCTCACTAGAAAAGGACATGACAACCTGTGGGGAGACTTGTGGTACCAGATCAACTCTGGGAGAAGGGGGGCATCAGTAGAGTCCATCTGAAAGGAGCAGAGGGACCTGAAAAGCTGGGCAAGGTTGCACCTGCTTTTGGAAAGGCAGGCTATGATGGTGATTTTTGACTAGCAGGATGTTATTAGATATACAGTGCCCTAACTAGATATAGCAGTCTCTATCCTCACCATATTAGAGGCCAGAAGTGTTCATGGGGTTAACACCTTGATGAGGGGAATTGGGAAGTGAAGTGGTCTGCTGCCTCAGTTTTCTTCCAAGGTATGAAGCACCATGTGGTGCACCCTCACAGACCATCCCATAGAGAAGCACAGCCTTGTACATGTCCCCTCCATGTCCACCCTGCTCTAAAGCCATCTCTGTCCTATGCACACCTTTTATTGGCCTCGGGTGCAGAGAGGCTGATGAGGCATTCAGGAGCTTCAGCTACACTAGAGGCAAAGTCTCTGAGCACAGCTATTATGTAGAGCACTAGAGGTAGGACTGTGTCTTGGAGACACACAACTGTTTCACACAGCTATACTGTAAACGCCTGTGTACGCGTTCCCTAAATAGGGAGAGATTTGTGGAAATAGAATCTAAACTGCTAGTTTAATTGTTTTAGTCAAATTGTGGCTAAATTAGCTAATAGGATTCCACCTGTATGTTTCATTTAGCACTTAGTCGTGTTTTTACAGGATGTGTTCGATGGAGAAATCTCAAGCATTTATATATGTTACAAAGTTTATATATGTTACACATTTTATTCTATTTTAAATATGAAACCAAAGTATGCTTTAAAATTAAGGCAAAGAAAATAAAAGAGCATTATTCATCATTTTGTGTTCTTTCAACAGAACAGAAGAAATAATTGTTAGTGTAACTCCAACAGGCTGAAGTCTGAAACCCCCTGTTCAAAATAAGTAGCACCTTATTGCACAAGAAGTTCCTCTGAGTGAAGCTCCACTCTATATGCACAAGTCTCAAGATCTGAATGTTAATTCTACCTGTAAAAGTCAGGGATACAAAATGCACTACTCTGCCCTCAGAAGTTTCCCTTCTCTGCCAAAAATTGAAAATTACTTTGAAAATAACATTACAGAGTTGTTAAAGCAAAGCCAGTTTTTCATTGTGTGATATTGTCAGTCTTGCTATGTGCTGCCAAAATACTGGCAATAGAGAGATGATGACATAGATGGCCCACTAGTATATGCTAGTGTCTCTCCTTGTGAAACTCAAACGTTCTAGAATATGTTATTGTACAGGAGCTGCACAAGGCTTATGGCTAAGTGTGTAGTATTATAAAGCACTCAAATATCTTAGATCTATATAATTTAATGGCAAAATTTTACAAGTCAATAATTATATAAGCTTGCGATGTTTTATCTGCTAGACCATAATGTCTACTTAAAGCAGAGCTTTAAAGGTTAATTGAGTAATGAAATACATAACTTTTAGCATATGATGCGTGAAGTTTCATAAATTGCATTATCGTCTATTGAGTAGAAAATTTGGTTATTAACGTTCTAATGCACATGTTTACATTTAATGGATTGCATTAACTCAAAGTTACAACTCCAATTGACTAATGATCCTTTTCTCCCCTAGACTACTGGTTCATTGAGGTTAATGAATGCTGTGTGTGGACTGAGAGTTGAGTATGTCCCTAAAGTAAGGGGATTCACACTCAAGGTTGCCGCTGCCATAGAGTGGCCTTTAGGTGTGCAGCAGTTTTGCACAGGTCTGAGGGTTAGGCAGTAGTCTAGATTGGTTATCTCACCTTATCTAACTATTGATACAAGGCAGACTCTCCTGATGTAAATTTATCTCCTTATTTGTTAGTGTATTTAATAACATTTTAAGCTGAAGTAAAGAATACATAATAGGAGGAACACACATCAATTTATAACATTCTTTTGCAATTGTAGAAGAGCTATAATGCAGAACATTTAGGACTTACTTTCAGTACCTGAAAGCATGATTTAACATTATGGTACCACACCATATATGCAGTTCACTACTGAGGTAGAGTACATTGTAAAGGCTCAAGACAGCCACATTTCACATGGTAAAGCAGTTTTAGGTACAAACAACATAATGAATTGCTAAATTCTGCAACCTAGGATGTGAAAATACCTAATGAATTACTCTTAACTCAACATAAACAAAAATCATTTCCAGTTTGTTTTTATATTAGGTACTTAGCTTGACAGATTTAGTTAATTTTCTTTTAGAAGTACGTACTGTATCTTGTTGCATGACAGATAACGTACAGTATTTACCACTGTTCTAGAGCAGTTTTATTGCATATACAATACAAATAAAATAGTTTGTAAATGGATTCTGATTATCAAACATGAGAGTGTAGAGACTTGTGCGACTCTCTGAGTTAGAATAACTAGGATCATTTGCAAAAAGGTGTGAGAGCTGTCAACTTCCGGAAGTCTAACATCTGAGTCAGTACTCGTTATCAGAACATGAAGGCAAGGGTGTATTGCACTGCTGGAGGCATTGATTTTTGGATGGGTTATAAAATATCATCTGACCATTTATGGAATGTTTAAACCATAACACTCTGCAAATGCTAGCCAGTTGTCAGTTTAGGTAATTACATTTGGCCTAATCAAAGTCCCACTGCAGTTTAAATTGGAAGATGTGCTTTTCTTCATTTTGGCTTAATCCACTGCATAATGTTCTATGTACATAGCTCTTTATTACTTGTATCACCTCAGTTCTAGGCACGGTCATCAAAGAGTCTCTTGTACAAACCCAGAAGAAAAGATGGGAACTTTCCCCAAAGAGTTTGCAATCTTACAGCTGGCATGCTCAGTCTCCTTAATTTGAGACCTGACTTGCATTGAGAAGCTCCACAGAGCATTTACGTATTCTTATTTCTGTGATGGCTGTGCATTCTCAGTAGGCTAAAGGATTCCTATATGTAGTTTGTTAAGTGATTTTTAAATTCTGTAAGATGGCAGGCACTTGATCATGGGAATATATTATAGGCAGTTATTTTGATTCACTGATGAATCAAAGAACTCTAGTTGAACTTACAGAGCTACATTTTGCAATTATGCATAGCTCAGGTGGTATCTGTGTGGTTTTATAGATCTACACAAATGCAGACTTTAGACTCAATATAATTTGTGAAGGGCAGATCCCAGTAGGACCCTCAGGGGTAGGGGGGAACTCCCAGAGCTGCTCCTGCCCCACTCCAGCCAGGCTACATGGGGAGCTGGGCTCAGCTGGCAGTGGTGGTTACAGTTGATGGGCAGCTCCTCTCTGCCCCATTACCTTAGGTGTTTCCCCACCAGCCTGAGAGCAGATGCAGGGACAGAGGAACCCCCTTGCTGCTTCTTCTGGCCCCAGTCAAGCCTGACTCCTTGCACAGTTGCTCCCTGCAGCCCCCTCTGGAGCCAGGTAGGAGTGGTGGGGAGAGCAGTGGCAGTGGACATACCTCCCTATGACAGAGATATAATTAGAGAAGGTGAGCAAGACAATGAGGTGTGCAGGACAAGGGGAGGTGCACAAGGTAAGCAGGACAAGGAGAGGTGTTGAGTATTGCTGAGCGTAGACAGGAAGTGGGGAGGGGCTGCTGAAAGCTGGGAGGGGGATGTGATTCTTACCTGTTTTCAGCACTTAAAAGAAGTCCCTGGCTGCTGCTCTCATGGCATGGTCTACCTGCCCTGGTGTGAGGGGGGGAGGCCAGAAGTGGAGGTGTGCAGCCACCCTGCAGAGGTGGTAACTACTCCCACACCCTTCTTTTAAAATCCTGGATCCACCTGTGAACGTGCCTTATATTCTATTACAATTTTTAACTCTCCAATTACAATTTTATGATTGTGTGGTCATTATTCTTATTATGTCTGTTTCCTTAAGCATTCAGCAATCATCAGCCAACACTTAGTGCTCAGGGATTTCTTTTGAGTAAAGACCATATCCCACTTGTTTATAAGATAAGATCACTGATTGAGTTGGTTTAGCTTTACATCTTCTAAAATTTTACAGGCTCTGTGTTTCTTAGAAATCAAGTTTTAAGTTAGCGTGGGCACATTATCACATTCATTCCATTCAGTATGAGAGTTCCTCATGTTTCAGTAGCTCAAAAAACAGACGTGGAGGATTGGGAGCACCAAATTTATGATCCATCTCTTATTAGATGCAGGAAAATGAATATCAAGTGCCATGCTTCTTTTAAATGTAATCTATTTTATTGAACAAATACTGAGTGGAAATGAGAGAGATTCTTGCTGCTTTTTTCATGTATGTAAAGAAAATGTCATTGATATTTGTGATGTAGCACCTGGCTTATTATGTCTTTCCTGTATTGCATTTCAGAGACGGTTATATGAGTTTGAGTAGATCGATGATCAATAGCTCTGATAAAATAATTCGAAAGGGCAGCTCTTCAATCTTTCATCATTCTGTGGAAGGTTGGAAAATCAATTCTTCTTTGGTACTGGCGATAAGGTGAGTACCTTAAATAACACAGTTCATTTCATATTACTATTGCCTATAATTCTTTGGGTCTAGGAAACTTATCTAAGACACTTGATTTACTGTTTAAAGGTGGATGTGCTACTTCTGTTTAATATTGCATCCTGAATGACCTCGAACCCAGGAAGGATCATTCTTCCCTCTTTAAATAATGTGAGCCTTGAATATCTGTGACTGCTTTAGGCAAACAACTATAGAGGTAGTTTATGAAGCTTCCTTTTTTTCCATTAAGTTACTTGTTGCCAGAATGTGTCTGGGATGCAAGTGGTCACAAACTGGACTAAGTGGAAGTGTGATGATCGTGGTGCCTCTTTGTGATTATAGCAGGGCTCTTCACACCTTGAGTCTAAGCCCAAGGACTAAGGCATACTGTTACATGTTACCTTTCCAATGTGTTAAATGCTGTTAAGATGGGCATGCCCATATGTTAATGCAGGAAAAGATAAGCTAAGTGGGCTCTGAGCATCTCAGAGTTACACCTCCTCTTCTGAGGATAATCTCCAGTTTGTTAGGCAGCTTATGTTAGAGTAACATTAGTCTCCTCCATGGGGCCAATACAAACTGGAAGCAGTTCTCCAGCATCCCAGGATGCACTGCTTCCAGCCATCCCTCAACCATTTATCCTCAGAGCTCTAAGTCTCCCAGAATGACAGCGCCAGGGAGAGCCAAGAGCTGCAGGGAGCCTGGAGCTGGGAATGATCCTTGGCAACTGGGTTGAGCCATGGGGTTGGGGGGGTAACCCCCTAGGGTGGAGGGTGAGCCATGAAGACCAGAGGGGGAAGATGGCTGGGAGCTGCTGGATACCTAGAGAAAGGGGAAGCTTGGCAGCTCCTAGCCACACCTCTGCTTGCCAGCCCTATAGCAGCAACTCAGAAAATTTCACTTCAAAGTGGGTATTAACTCTTAACATGCGACTGTTCACAGCATGTGCTAACTCTGAACACTGTGTAGAGTTTCAAATGTGAATTATAATGTCTAACCACAACATATGGAGGAGAAGAGCAGGGGACCATGAGTCTACTACTTACTCTATGTGTCAAACAATAAGCTACTTGTCACAGAGTAGGAAATATGTGGGTGATTGTGGGGTATGGAGCTATATACCGTGAAATTCTTCATCTTCACCAGGAAATATGTAGCTGAAGTGTGATTTCTGAGCTTCTGTACTGCCATACTTGGGGCAATGAGCAAGAATTCAGCCTGGTCTTCCTGAAACCTGTATTCTGAACACCTCATTCAGGCAAAGGTAGCTTGCCTAAATATTTGGTAAAGACTGGTTAATTTGTTATATCTGAAATTTTTAAAACAAAGAGAAGCTATTAATAGCACAATGGTAATTAGCACATGCAAAGTTAAAGTCAAAGGAATCTGTAGGATACTTACCATGCTTGAGATTTCAAAAAGGTTGTACTATTTTTGACCTCAACATCTTACCACTGCAGGAATTGCTGAACTGTGGTTTTGATGACTTACATTTCAGAGGATTAACTGCTTTTTAAAGAAATAATATTTTTCTAATTTTCAAATTAGAAGTGTTTTCAGATTATTAACTCCGTAAAAAATAGGACTTTTTACTATCAACAAATCCTTGGTAACCTTCTGTTTTCATTTACACGAAGGTAAATCTGGGATACGTTCCACTTAATCCAGATTTACAGTGGTATTAATAAGAGCAGAGTCTGGCTCACAGTTCTGATTTTACCACCTTTAAGTGAATTAGGGAAGTGAAAGGTTAAATGATTCAACGATAAGTATATTTGTCCCAGGAATGCATTACCAATTAACGTTTAATGCAGGGCACAGTCCAGCAGGGAGGAAAGTAGCAGGGCAAGCAGGGAAAAGAGAGGAGAAGGGGGCCAGGGGAAGAGTGGGAGGGAGGACTGTAGTTCCCATAGCTTGTTTACCCCCTCCCTCCCGGTGTGCTAGTGGCTGCAGCGGGCTGGGAAAGCTTCTTACCTGCTACTGGCACCCGTGGCTTCATGTGGGGTGTGCTGCCTGGTGGGGCTTGCCACTGCCTCTTCCTCCCCTCTGCCAAAGGCCCTGTGGAGCAGCTCCCAGCAGCAACTGTGTCCAAGTGAGTCTGTGCATGGCCCCTGGCTTCCTGTGCTGCTCCAGCAGGTGGCTGCAGCTCTTCCACAGCAAGAGGTGAAGTAGAGCAGGCTGTGTCCCGCCTTTCCATTTTGAAAAGGTGGTCACCCTTGTGTTATCAGTTAAGCATTTAACTGATACAATCAGGGCAGGTTAAACAGATAATTTTTGTAAATGATATATTCATCCCTAATGTGAGTTGAGTAATATATTCATCTACATGTAGTCCCAGTGAAGCATTTGGGGTTACTGACAGGGTAAAGTACTGTGCAATATAACTAAGAGTGACAAAGCGTGCCTCTTATTCCTGCTACTACTGTAGGACCTATACTACTCACGTAGCACCATTAAGTAAAAGTTAAAATCTGTTCTCTGTAGCAGAGCAGTTAATGGATCTTGCCAAGCTTCTGAAGGCCTCCCATAGCTGACCCAGTTTAACTGAGTCATTTGGGCTGGGGAAACAAAGAAGGTTGGACATAATGCAGCTATACAGTTCTCTTGTGCACCTTTAGCAGACTAGCCCAATACAAAGACATTTGCTTTTGAATTCTGCTCTCAATGGGCACATCTCCACATGCATTAATGTGCTATAGTTACTGTGCATGACTTTGATAATAGGTACTAAACTCAATGTGAAGTAATCGGCGCTACTGCGCAGCAGTGCCGGTGCTTGACGCTAATGCATAGTAGGCTAATTTTATTGTGCATTAGTGCAATAGCACGGCTTTTGCTGTGACATGCTAATGTGCAGTAGAATTAGTCTACTGCGCATTTAGTGTCTCATGTAGACACACCCAATGTGCAGTAGCATAAAGCAGCATAATTCCTGCATCAGTAAGATTATTTCAAGTTTTTAATGTATAGATTAATATGGATGGATTCATGTGCACTGCAGTTGATGAGCTGGCTGGAAAGAACAGCTTGGTTTTTAAACCCTAAATGCTGATTTGGCTGTTGGGGGGTGGTGGTAAAGTTTATTTTACTCATAAACTCAGAACTGAGGATGTAAAGATGTAACTCTGAAGTACCTGTTTTGTGGCTTTTCAGAATACATCCACAACTGAATGCAAAGTTAAGTATTATATACAGAAATGTAGCCATTTGAAATAAACCTCTTTGGCCATACAACTCAAACTGTATGTTAATCACAGTACTGCAATAAGTATTGGACTATAGTCACAGAAAAAAGCAAAACTTGTCATGCAGCTTATATACTAATTTAGCAAGAAGCAATATGTATCACTGAGGCAAGGAGGGCAAATACTGAAGAAAGCAACAGGTATATTTTCTAGAACTTGTTACCAGATGTGTATCATAAAGGATACCTTTAATCTACCAAACATTTTAATGAAAATGTGTTATTGAATTGTGCCAGTAAGTCTTGGAAATCATAGAATAGCCTATATAAATGCAATGATTGGGGATATGTTATCCCAATAACATATGTGAAGGAGAGCACATTCCTTATAAAATGGAATAGAGAAATCTTTGCTACACTAGGATCAAGACTTGCTGTAACTTTGGGCCTATGTAAAGTTTGAAGTCATGTGACATGTTAAGGCTGTCCAAGCATGAATGAGACAACCCGTGGCAAGTCAAGAGGTCCCATTATGAAACCACATGGCACAATCCCAGAAAACAGGTTAGTACTGCTTAGCAATGCAGGGTTACTCCTAGATAAGTCAGGGGCAAAATTTTCCTATTTTGAAGTGTCTGTCTATCAATGGGCAGGCTATTCATTTCTCTTGCTTTCAAATGTATAGCCCTGCTTGTTTGTGTGCAGCTGCCATGGTGTGTTTTTGCTCCAGGTTTATGCCCTGAGCTGTCCCTGGCTCACATGTCCCTGGCTTCCCTGCGTTTGAGCAGGAGTAGCAGTGAGCATGAACAGCAAGTCATAGGAGCAGATGTTTCTTGGGATGCAACAGATGTTTTTAGCTGAATATGTCTTACGAATAAAACCTGCCATGGTGCTCATTGCAGTGGCAAGCAGGTAAGCTGGGAGTGGCATCCCTTTTTCACGAATCCTTGCCTGCTTACATGCAAGTCAGCAGCAAGGCAGAAAAGTTCAGCACGCCTTCTCCCTTGTCCCCTGGAGGTACAGCCTACTACACTTTTAGGTCCCATTACTGTTCTTCAGCTTCTACAACAGACTTACTGTATATTCTTCTTACCCAGTGCTCAGCCACATATCATTGAAAAAGATTTAGATCTTAATATTTTTACATGGTTGGAGCCATAGGGATTAACTTCAAAACATATCTAGCAATCTCCAACTGTTCTCAGGGCTACACTGTTTAGCTTTCCAAAGAACATTACATGCACTGTGTAGATCATGAAGATGATTCATGCTCTATTATTGTGACTGTTAATATAAGTAGGGTATTTGACTTGTGGTGTGAGGTTTGCCATAGCACATAATGCAAAAGAACAGATATATAATAATAAAAAAACACTAGTGCCTACTGAATAATGTATAAAAAATTGTCAGTTCTTAGGAGCAGAGAAATTATTTGTGAAACCGTTAAAGTAGAGCGCACAGGCATTTTATAAAACTTACATTCACGCATACATGACAGCTGTTGTTGTGTCTTACATCAGCTTGACACCCCCAATTAAAAATGAGGAAAAGCTTTGATAGTGAATTTTGCCTTCTGCAAGGACAGTGTGTTTCATTCTGCTTGGACTTAACTGGTAGACAGGACGCTATACTTTGTTTTTGTGCTACCCTTGGGCTTTCTTCATTACCCTAGTAGGAGAGTGATTTTCAGATTGATGGTATTCTCTACCTACTGACAACTTAATTTCAGAGCAATTAGCAGCTTCTGTGCCTGTGGAAAGGGAGTCTGCTTGGCTCCTTCAGTGTCTGAATGACTGTCAGACCCTAC